TTTACAGACAAAAAATGAGCTCAAAAATTTTTAATCAATTGTTGGGATTCCTTCGTTAGTATAGCTTGTATCAGAAAGTAGAACATTATGAACTTATATGAAAAGACAAACTTCGAATCATTTTTCAGCTCTTGTATCTTCAATATCACTGAGAAGAAAACATTTAAAGATATATTGGATCTATGATTACTTTTGCTTCTCTTATCGAGATTTATCTGTCTAGAACTTTTTGTTAAATTATTCTGAATAAAATTTCGAAAAGAAGATTAGTTTAAGTATTATAAATTCGAAATTTTTTCTTTTCCTAAAAGCTTGTCAATACGTAATTTGAATAAAATAATGAAACATTTTTCAAAGACTTAATCCATAATGATTATTATAATAATTGAATAATCTCACCTGTTCAACTTCATTTAATCTAACTAAAGTTTTTGATGTTGTTTGTTTTGAATCCATCATTATTTTTCTTTTTTGTTTTTTTTTGTCTCTTTTTGGATAAGGAAATCGAATCATTTCAGTTTGCATTCCATTAGAAAAACATCTCATAAGTCGACAATAAGAACAAACATGACGATTATTTATATCTATTTGACAATTACCATCAAAATCACATTTCAATTTTTCCTGAATAAATAAATAAATGAATAAAATAAAATACATATATTCAATTAACCCGTCCATGTTTAGCATTTCGGCCGAAAAATAATTTGCATGGTGAACATGATATAACACCAAAATATGAATATATAGCAGAAGCTCCACAAATTTTGCATTCAGTTGGTGAAGTTGTTTTCTGTCGTTTTCTATCTGCAGAAACATTGAATGAGGATTTTTCCATAATAAAAACACGTTTTCATTCAATTAAAATCTAGAAAATAAATAAATAATATTAGAATTATAATTTTCAACAGAAATTATTTTCTAGACAAACTACGAGAAATAATAAAAATATTATCAAGAGAACAAATATTTTTTTTTCTTTTTGTTACATGTTTATTGTATTTTGATGAACATTATGTGTGGTAACCGTTTAAGGGAAACAACGAGTTAAGAGAAAATGTGGACATCATTGTAGACGCACATGAAATCGTATAATAGAAAATTCGTATTGACTAAAAAAAATCTGAGTACATCTCACTATGTTAAATTAATCTTCAAATTGTGTCAACAACTTCACATGTGTAGTCTAATTGCCATGCGTGTTGAGTAGTTTTGATCGAATTCTCTCACGCTATAAGTTGAGTTATCCTATAAGATTGTTCATTTATTTTGATGGAAACACTTCATTAAGCAGTTATGCGAATGATTCTGTATGATAATACAATTCAACTCAAGATGAAACATCTTAAACGAGTAGAACAGAGTTGTTTCGCTTCTAAAATTAGATGGTTTGATTTGTTGCATGTAATTGTTTCAATTGATTACTAAAAAGCTATGTTGTAAAATGAAATGCTTAGCATAGAAATTATACCAATTAGTGTACAGATTTGAATAAAATAAAAACGAATTAGAACTTTTAAATTTAATATCACAAGTCTCAAATCTGAAAACATTTATTCTCTATTGGTGGCTAGTATTTCGTGCTAAGTCTATGTGCTACCGCACGATTTCATGTACCTCTACAATGGTATCCATATTTTCCCTTAACTCGTTGGATTTTCTTAAACGGTTACCACATCTACTATTGATAGACCGAACGAAATGACTTTCTGCTGAGAGACAATATACCACTACAGGATGCGGCAATGGACTTATTATATATAAGTCTGTTTTTTTTCAATTATTATTTCTATTCTAGTTTATTCATATTAATAAAGAAGAAATATTTATGTTATACTAACGTTAATTTATTTCATTACCATGAAAATATTTTTTGTACTTAAAGAACATAATTATTTCGTTGTTTTTCTTAGATTAAGAAACATAAGAAAATATCTGAATACTTTCATTGTAGACGTTAAGTTAAATGAAACACAAGATAGACAAGAACAGAAAAAGAAAAAAAAAGAAAATTTCCTTTTTTTTTCTTCTCTTTCTTCGACGAGAAACGTAGATATATCGAGAAATATACAAGTCATAATGGTTAAAGGGAAAAGAACATTCTTTCGTTCTGTATGAAGACAAAAAAAAATAGCAATGTAATGTTAATAATCTTTTATTTGTATATAAGCGATTTGCAATTTCATTGTATCGTTCGAACTTTCAACATACACTCGGAATAACTCTTGGTTTCTGTTGACTGATTTGAATATTTTGTTTTGATCCACTATTTAATCCTCACTAACAGGCAAAAATGGTATGGGTTTTCTCTTCATGCACACATGTGCATGCATCGTTTTTCATGTTTGTTACTCTTTTCTTTTGATTCTTGATTCAGCTGACAGTTTAGCCTATAGAAGTGTCTCATATGGCAAATTCTATATGCATGTTAGTCGTCTATTTTTAATAAAATCCAACAATAAAAAAAAATAGAAACTGAAAACAAAAATATCTGAAATAATGAATAATTATAGCAAGCTTCGTTTACATGATTATTATTTTTCTATAAAAAGCCAAGTTTACATCAATTTATATTGATTTCACCAATGAAAAGGCAATGACAACTATACGATGTTTGTTTGTTATTATATATTTCTATTATATGACTTTATTCTACGTAATTTCAGTAACTACAAAAAGCCAGTGAGAAATGAATAATGATATGTATATATTAATATATTTTTATATGCTTGGAAGAGAAAAAAACGTACCACTATAGATCGATATACGATAAAACAAAAAAGAAAAGAAGATAGAGAACAAGACTTTGAATCTATTTTGTTTCTAGAGAAAAAAAAAATTATTGCCTATATAACATTAGGTTACCTTACATTTATCAAAATAAAAAAAATTCATCAAACATGCAATTATACATTTTTATTTTTATTTACATGGACAAATAAATATATGAAGTATTGGTAAATTTTTTTTTCATACTTACTATGAATATTTTTTCCTCTTTCTTCACACAAATTTCAGTGAAGTTCCGAAGTTTACGAGGAAATATATCCAAATGTTAATCGCTGATCGATAGGAAGCTGTGGAGTCACATTTTTTATTCTGAAACTCGACTGCGACTCCGAAATTTTTTATCGAAAGCAGACGACGTCTAATGTGTTTTATTGTTTAATTTTGAATTTCTTTCTCATTTGTTATGTAGTGCAAATAAAAAGTAATAACTAGAAAGTATTCAACCATCGCTGTGTCCAAGCGATCGAGAATTGATAACGACAAGAATAATTGTACACCAGATGATACGGAAATATTTTTCGATTAATCGTATTATGTTTTTATGTGGTTGATTTTTCAAATGTTATGGAGAAAAGATGATTCATCTTTTTGTCATGAAACTCATTCTTAATATATGTAGTGAGTAGAGTTCTGCACTAAATCAATTTCGGAGTTGTCGTTGGAGTCAACCAATTTTTTTGCCAAAAATTTCCATTTAGCATAGGCACTTTTTTGTATTGTAGATTTTATTTCCTGTATAAACTGATGCGTTGTGAGAGTTCAAACGACGTCTCATCGAGACCTATGGACATGAAAGAATGTTGGAGTCGAACAAAATCGGAGTTGAATTTGATTCCGATTTTTTTTCATGCCCATAGACTTTGATAGGACGCCGTTGAAACCGCCAAAATGCATCGGTTTGTAAAGGAAATATCACAAAACAAAATCTACAATTCAAGAAAGTTCCTATATTAAATTAAAATTTTTGGCAAAAAAATTAGTTGAGTCCGGAGACTCTAACATTGACTCCGTGCAGGATTCTACAGTAGTTGTGGGTGTTCCCTTTCGTTTTGATTTTGTTTGTTAATCTAAAAAGAACAGATAAAATAATGCTTCATGTGTTTGTATAGAAAAATAAATTAATTAGTCAAGTAATCTCGAACAAGATTTACAATTGGGACCATTATTGGGCCCACAAACATCATCAACATTTGAACTTGCGTCGCTTTTTTTCGACGTAAGTTTTACGCCTCAATAAAATAATCCTGTTTCTCCTTGTTTCGCCTTGCGTCCTTCATCATTGCGCCTCTCTTGTATACCACCATAATGTCGACAAGTAGGGCAATTTGGACCTTTATTAGGATTACAGTAACCATTTACACCAATTTTACCAAATGGTGCATTATTATCTTCCATATTATGCCTTTCACAATAGTATAAACCCGTAGTACCTTGTTGTGGAATCCATCCGCCGAATCCGACTGCAGGTGGATACAATTTGTTAAGTGCAATTTTGTCACCGTTACTTAGGTGATCACGTTGATACGGTGCCCATAAATTACGATCTTGTAAGCTAGAACTAGGTTGATACTGCATGATAGAATCAGCATCGTATCTACCAATGGGTATACCTTCTATACCATAGTTGACGCTGTCTTCGCTGGCGCATTGGACGTATTGATTTCGGTCTTCACGTTGATGTTCGTGTACGAAACCCAATGTATGCATTAATTCATGTAGTGCGTTACCCTTAGTAGCCCATTCTGCCAGCTCGAGAATTTGTCTACTACCAATCATTCCGACACGGGATCGGCACTGTTTACCATAGACAATATGAATATAATTCGTCGGTGTATTGGTAATATTAAATCGAATACCTGGTGCAACTTCCTCTATATATTGTATAGCAGCGAGAACTATTTTTTGGCATTTTTCAGGAAGGTTTTTATCAAAGTAGTAAGGAACAATAATTGGTTCGTGACTGGATCGAGCTTTGTTATTAACTATTGTTTGAACTAATGAACCGTCCCATCGTTTGGCACTAGACCTTATATTGCCTCCTGCACTGATCCCATGTTTCGACATTGAAACTATGAAAGCAAAGGCAACATACGATTAATACCACTTTTCAAATACGAATACGTATGGTTGATCAAAAATTCTAAGAAATCTTAAAAAATTCCAATCAAAGAGACCTTTTTACTGTTAATTGTATGAAATGTAGGTGCGATGACATGGATTTGAGTGTGGTTTGAATATTTCATCCTCAACACATACTGGCCGAATCACACCTACACACCCATTTTTCTAGTTTCTGTTTAATAGTATTTCTACAACCTAGTCGAAGAAATATGATTGATTCTGAAAAAATGAATTCCTTAGCATTGGCTTTTTCAAAACTTATCTAAAATTATATTCTTAAGTTTCAGTTCTTGTATTATCTTCAGTAACAATAAGCAAGACAAGAAAACATTTGGATCACATATCAAATTGAGACTTACTTTCGTTTCTTATTTATTTTGTTAATGGTATATGCAATAGGAAGTAATGTATCGATTTTATTCATGGTTCTCTCATTTATACGTTTTTCTCGATTTGCACAAGTCTGTCACAATTATGACGTCACGTCCAATAGAATTCGATTAATGCTCGCTTGTTGGAAAAAATCACTTATAGTAGTTGTGTGTCATTTCGAAAATAATGTTCTACAATTATCTGTTTCTAATATGAAAAGGTACCAACATCCAAAAACCGTTGTATTCCATTGTTCAAGAAGTGTAGCTCAGAGCACTTTTTTATCATTATTATTATGCTCATGGGTGTAAAACTCGGATGCACTTACATAATGAAAGAGCGAAATAGATATGTTTAAGCAAAAAAGCTCCATCATTAAAGCATAGCATTTTACTGTATCCCATCAATATAATACTCTGAATACTGATTCAAACTTCGAAAGAAATCGTGATTCATAAAAGTAAATAAAGGAATAAACAACGTGAAATGGGGAGAGTAGAAAGAGAGGAACATTGATAAGTAGCTGCGAATCTACACAAGTAGAGTAAGCAACTAGAAGGAAGAAAGCGAAATAAAAAGAACAGAGCAACAAAAAAAAACGGAAAAGAAAGAAGGGTGTGGGTGTGGGATGTGAGTATGGGGTGAGTGTTGGTGTAGGTATGGGTATGGATGTGTAAGCGTGTCAGTCATCTGTTCACTAACACGCCCACCCACACCCACATACGCGCGCAAGCATATAGGCTCGATGCATTAGAGAAGATAAACAAACTGTTGACAAAACAGTCTAGCAGAAGATGTAATGTTGTCTATCGGCAAATACAAGACACTCAATTTCTTCGGCGAAAATCACAACCGAATTCAGAACTCCAGAAACGAACTGAGATGGGGTGTGGATGTGTGTGTAGGTGTTCAGAGTGCTCTCCTGAGCTTTCATCCACACCCTAAACCCTAACTAAGTGATTAATTGTTTGGATTTTTGTTGTTAATCGCATGACGATACATTCCAAGATAATATAGTTCTATCCACTGCCGATGTGGAATATGGATGTATGAGTACCTACTCACGCCCATTCACACCCACGCCCGCATCTTAGTTCATCCTTAGAACTCTGAAAATGTGTGTGATTTCCGCCGAAGAAATTGAATGTCCTGTGTTTGCTGATAAACAACATTACATCTTATGCTGATTTGTTTTGCCAACAGTTTGGTTATCTTATCTTATCTAATGCATTGAGCCTACATGTGCGTGTGCGCATATTATATTCTCGAGCAAATAGAAACTTATTCGTCGTTTAGCTAGCTGTAATTACTCTAAGCAACAATTTTTCGATAGTCTTTGATATAAATCGAGACGAAGAGAACATGCCACTATCATTAGTTTCATTAATACTTTTGTTTTCTATTTTCATTCCAACTAGTGTCGTACCATCATGGGCTACTCACTATAGAGTTTTCAATTCGCAAGAGACACGTTTGTTCTCATCGCGTGCTGAAGACTGCAACGCCACTTGTCAACATCGGAACGGGAGCGAATGCACTATCGATAAAACTACTTGTTATATTGGCGGTCGATGTTATAAAGAAAATGACAATATATCTTGTCTGCAATGTCAACCGAATAATAGTCAAACACAATGGAGTGTCAATCCTGAATGTTTAGCTGATGATTTATGCTCGAATCGATGAAGTTGTTTTCATTTTATCAAAACTAATCTACATGCTATTCGTTTGATTTCGACAAAGAAGTAATAAATTATGTTAATTTCTTTATTTAAGGTCAACAAAAACGAGTCAATGTAGCAATGGAAATCGCTGCATGTCCAAAAGTTCTTCTTGATGAGCCAACATCTGGTTTAGATACAGTATCATGTGATGATTTATTCGATTTATTACAATTAATTAAACATAATTTAGCTGGACTGGTCACTATTATTATGGTTATTCATCAACCTAGTCAAGAATTATTTGAAAAAATCGATGATATCTTCTTTCTAACGTCATTATGTTGTTTAGCTTATCAAGGTCCACGTGAAAAAGCAAAAGACTATTTGAAACAAATAATATTTGCATCTAAACCACAAGAATGTCCTCCATCACCACATAACGATTGTGATACTTGTTTCATTATGTTAACAAAAGCTCAAGAACATATAGATAATCATACATTAGAATATGAAAAAAATCTCTCAACCACTTCGACTAATATCATGGAAGAAACGAGCATTTTTACCATTCTTATATACAATGTCACGTTGCGCACGACAGATGTATATCCGTGGTACGATTGCGGAAGCAGCCTACTTAGTTGCGTATTTTCTACTTGGTGCATGTGTTGGTTATTTATTCGAAAATAAACAATAAGGTACATGTGATATTCAAGTATTACCAACAATTGATTTTCTTATGAGTCTTTCTTTTGGCATTTTAACATGTATATCAAGTCAACGTTTATTTGGTGTTGAAATAACGGATGATACATTTGAACGAGAAAGTCGTAATTATTTTCATCCATTTCAATATTGGTTGGCTAAAAGTTTAGTTGATATATTTCGAATGATTTTATATCCATTACTTTTTCTTAGTATGCTTTATATTGAAATTGTACCACGTGGTCCATGTTCATATTATCTCGGTGTAATGATTCTTCTTTCATTTGTTTGTTCTGGTATTGGACAATTAACTTTGGTAATTTTCAGACGCACTGAATATGCTTATCTTGGTGGTACAATCGTGGCTCTTTTATCTTGTCTTCTATCAGGTTTTAGTCCAACAAAAAGTGATCTTGGCCGTGGAAAATTCATTGTTTTTCTTTCCTTTTCACGTCATGTTCAAAGTTTATTGTTTAGTCATGAAAAAAACCTTTATTTACAAACAAATTCGAATGAAACACATATATGGTCAAGTTCGATAGAAAGACTGAAGGATCATTATTCATTTGGTGATCAAGAAATTCCATACTTTTTTTTGATCTTTCTTGGCTTTCTCTTACGTGGACTTACTTTTCTCTGTCTATACGCAAAATCAGAATATAGATCAGAAAGACGTTTTCGTCTAATGCATATTGGTCCTACTCTGAAAAGTTTATTTACTTGTCAAACATGCCGACGATGAGTATTCGGTTCCATATAGAATGATTATGAAATACTGTACTGTCCACTTGTTCTTTTTTGTTTTTCAACAATGATGACTTTTTTTCTATGATTTTTATACCGAATAGCACATGTCATTTTATCATCAATGTTTAGTTAGAGTGTGGATGCATGGTGGGTGCGAGTGAGTGTGAATAGTCGGTGTGGGTGGGGGAATAGGTACGGCTGTGGCTGTTAGTGTCGATATTGTTCTTCTCTTTTCTCAAGCTCACACATACTCTCGCACTTTTGCGACTTCGCTACATCCCTAATTACCCATCGACAAAACTTGCATATTCATCCCATTACTTATTTTTTCCTGCCTTGTGTATGCATGATGTCGTATTTCTGTGCCATTGTGGAAGTTTCTATGTAAATCTTTTCAGCATCTAAATATATTTCGTATGACAAGTACAGCCAGATGAGTTTTAAATTAGTAGATAATAAATATTTATTTTTCTTACAGCATCCAACCACATTGAGGTAACTGTGGTAGTGAGTATGTCAAGTCAGACGCGTTAGAGACCGAACTATATTCGCGAATGCATGCATGAAAGTCTTGTTTATGTACGTGCATTAATATATTATCACGCACGAGAACATACGAATATTTTTCTCAGCAGTTCACGCGTGCACATGCATGAAAATTATGGCAACTATGCGTGGACATGCATGACTATGTAGTAATCTATTCTTGATATAAGATTCGAATATACGTACTTTGTGTTATAAAACAAACTTTTTCACTATTAAAAAAATACAACAAGTTTTTTCGATCGAATAGTGTGATTATTCAAGAGAACAAGTTTCACAAATAAAAGAAAAATAAATTCTTGAAAGTGGTAGCATACACCTGACAAGATGAAAAAAACTTGCATGTCGACGTATTATTCTTATCTCTTTTTTCGGCCATATTTTTCTTTTTTAGTGTTCTTATTCAAGTTGTTTGTGCAAAGATACGAATAATATATGTTTTACTTTGGAGTTGACGACACCTTCAATTGTAAGGCAAATAAAGGATAACTTTAGTTCTTCAGTCGCAGTGAAGTAGCTCGATTTTCATTTATGACATATACCTATAGTTTTAGGAGTGTCTAAACTTTGACGGAAAAAAGTTCCCAAAAAAAAAATAAACTCGTAAAAATTCTCGTTACAACAATAGAGAATGGCTAGAGCGATTGGTATTGATTTAGGCACAGTATATTCGTGTGTCGCTGTATTTCAACATAATAATGTCGAAATCATCCCGAATGATCAAGGTAATCGAACAACACCATCATATGTTGCATTCACCGATAGTGGACGATTGATCGGTGATGAAGCTAAAAACCAAGTAGCAAGAAATCCAAATAATACAATTTTCGATGCTAAACGACTTATTGGTCGTAAATTCAATGATGCAACTGTACAAGCTGATATACAACATTGGCCATTTCTAGTAATTAATGATAATGGTAAACCTAAGATTCAAGTTGAATATAAAAATAAAATAAAGTTATTCACACCTGAAGAAGTATCGTCAATGATACTAACAAAAATGAAAAATATAGCAGAAGCTTATCTTGGTAAAAAAGTCTCCGAAGCTGTCATTACTGTACCAGCCTATTTTAATGATTCACAACGTCAAGCAACCAAAGATGCTGGTACTATTGCTGGTCTTCATGTATTACGTATTATCAATGAATCAACAGCTGCTGCTATTGCTTATGGGTTAGATAAAAAAGTTACAAATGGACAAAATGTATTAATTTTTGACTTGGGCGGTAGTACTTTCAATATATCAATTTTAATTATTGAACAAGATCTATTAGAAGTTAAATCGACAGCCGGTAAATAGTAAAAAAGAATATCAGTTTTCTCTATGAAAGTTTTATTTTAAACACTTATTTTAGGTAATACACATTTAGGTGGGGAAGATTTTCTTAATCGAATGGTTGCATATTTTATTCAAGAATTCAAGTGTAAACATAATAGAGATTTAACTCAAAATAAACGTAGTCTTTGTCGTTTACGTACTGCTTGTGAACGTGCTAAAGTAAATTGATCTTTGTTTATTTTATATTTGAAGAAAATCAATCAATTTCTTCTCTTTCTTTAGATTACTTTATCGTCATCATCTATAGCATCGATTGAAATCGATTCATTATATGATGGGATTGATTTTCATTCAAAAATATGTCGTGCTTGGTTTGAAGAACTCAATGCTGATTTATTTTGTTCAACACTTGAACTAGTTGAAAAAGCTTTACGTGATGCTAAAATAGATAAAGATAACATTCACGATATTATTCTTATTGGTGGCTCAACACGTATTCCAAAAGTACAACAACTTTTACAAAACTTCTTCAATGGAAAAGAATTAAATAAATCATTGAATCCAGACGAAGCCGTCGTCTATGGTGCTGCTGTTGAAGCAGCTATTTTAACTGGTGATTATTCCGAGAAGGTTAAAGATCTATTGCTACTTGATGTTACATCCTTGTCATTGGTAAGCAGAATAACAAGAAAAAGAGTTCTTTTGTAAAAAAAATTTTCTTTCTAAAAAAGGGTATTGAAACAGAAGGTGGTGTGATGACAGTATTAATCAAGCGTAATACAACAATTCCCACCAAACAAACACAAACCTTTACAACTGCTTCGATAATCAATCTGTTGTTACTGTGAACGTTTTTGAAGGTGACAGATCAATGACGAACGATAATCATTTAATGGGTAGTTTTGAACTTTCTAATATTCTACCAGCACTTCGTGGCGTACCACAGATTGCAGTTACATTTAATATTGATACAAATAGTATTTTAAATGTTTCAGCTATGGATAAAACTTCTGGAGAAGAAAAGAAAATTATAATAACTAATGATAAAGTACGTTTATCTAAAGATGAAATTGAACGTATGATTGTTGATGCTGAAAACTATAAAAAAGAAGATGAAATACAACGTGATCGTATTGCAACTAAGAATTCATTGAAGTCATATTGTTTTAATACGAAAACAATGATTAATGATGAAAAATTAATAGATCGAATTAATGATTATGATAAGAAGAAAATAACTGGTATTATTGAAGATGCATTAAAATGGGTGGAAATAAGTCAAGTGAGATAAACATCATTTGTTTCCTTCTTTTTTTTTTAAATTTATTTTATTCGTTTTTTGTTTTTAGCTTGCTGAAAAAGAAGACATTGAATATAAGTTGAAGGAAGTTGAAAAAATAATATGTACATCACTAATATCAAAAGTTCGTCAAGATGAAAATGGTATTGGAAAAATACCAGAAAGACTTTCTGGTGGTTCAACAGGTGAATAATCAGTTTTTATCATTCTATAATGAAAGATCATTTCTTTATATCAAAGAGTAACATAAAATAAGCCAATTATTGCCTATGAAATTTTTATTTTGCGATCTAAATTATACTACTCAATCATTTTGAATATTTTCTATTGTTTTACTCTAGTTATAATTTTCAGATACTCCCAGGCGAGCAAAAAATAAGGGGTGATGCCCGACATGACTAGTCTAAATTATCCGTAGTGCCCATCTGGACTAGTCTAAAATGTCTGCACTGCCGTTTGGACTAGTCTGAAATCATTTGCAGCCGGTCAGGACTAGTCGTCTTCACAAGCAACGTCTTGCATCTAAAATAGACTAGTCCAAAACATGCTCTAATCTTGTCATGGCTAGTCCGTTTCGTATGTGCATACTGTCCAGACGCGTCAACTTGAAGGCAAAAGCTAGAAGAAACGGAGGCGATAGGTGGATTCGAACATTCAAGCCAACAATATTGGATACCTGACTAGTCTAAACTGTTTTCAATAGGTAACGCGGACTAGTATGAAGAGTCATCTATATTGGTCATGACTAGTCGTTTTCGAGAAAATAATGCTAATTCTGGTCCAGGCAAGTCTATCTTTCCAAACAGTCTTTATTGCTTGGACTTAATCATTCGAACAATTCGTTTAGACTAATTTGTATTGGGACTAGAACGATGTATCTAACGAGAGTTAGCTATTTATGTCCTTTTAAATTTTTACATTGTAATAACAATTAAGAATAATTTTATTCGAAAAATTAATTTTAATGCTTTGATATGAGGATATTATTTTATTTCAATATAAAACCTAATGATTTGAATTTAAAAATGGATTTAAACGATAGAATCTTAGCTCATTTTCAAATTTAAATAGGAAATATTTTAAATTAAGATAAACATAAACCATGAGATGAAAAGCAAGATCTTTTTTTGAAATATATATTATGATTTTGATTTTGATTTAAATTTTAATTATTTTTTCCAATAGAAAATAATTTTTTCCAAATGTCGACGATCAAAAAACAATTCTGAATTAATTTTGCTTAGCTTTATTTAACTAATTTTCGATTTTATTACAAGTAGTTTTTATAAATATTAAAACTTGAGAAAACGCTGAGTCAAACTGTAGTAATTAGTATGTTCAGATGTGTATTGACATGTAAAAGTTGATCACTAGATCATATGGCTCAATCGGGTAGATGACGAGTAAGTAACACAAGGTATGCATGTACGAATCTAACTTTCTGCATATATTTCTATCATTTAGACTAGTCCGAACTAGACCGCTACATAAGACTGAAACCTAATAGATGTCGCGTCACAGGCACTCTGCCTTTTTTAATTTACAATCTATTTTCGGACGGGATGCCCAGACGGGGTTAAAGACTCCAAACCATTTTGGACTAGCCATGTAGTAGCACTTTTTGAGAAAAAGACTAGACATGACGTATAGTCCCGACTAGAAAAATGACTAGTCTTTTTACCCGCCCTTTGTTCGTCTGGGCTCCCACCATACTGAAAGGTTCAGGTCTGTCCAGTGTTTTCCTACTCCGATCCGAACCTCTTCACAACAATCCTGCTTAACATTCTCAATAATCTGCTAAGAGGTCAATAGAGGATAGTCTCTCTGTTTATTTCTTAGATTGAATAGTCTAGAATCTGCAGAACGATGTTTAATTCATTTGTCTATATGTAACACGTTTTTAAATTCGATTTCTATCTGATGATATCGTATGGTTTTTGTTGCGTTTGGATCTTATGAAATGGTGAGACGAAAAAAACCTACTTATCGAATTTCGTACATGGTTTGTTGACCTTATTCATTGATCGACGAACAGACATTGTGAATGCGCTTCCATATTAGATTATACGGAAATGATGTTGAATTTTGTTGATCTTATTTGATTGAAATCAGTATAATATTCAGTATGAATCATTCTAATCATCACAACAATATTGTTATGCCTGCATTGGCGAGGGAGAGGTAGCACAAATCATCAGAAGATCTTCTTACAAACAAATATACTGAAATTAAATGTCATCATCGTTCAGTCTAGGAACAAATGAATCGGCATTTGATGAATCTTACTTGGCAATTCACAGTCCAGAGCATCCGTTGAAAACCAATAACACCGTGATTCAACCGTAACACAAAAATCCATAATACTATGTCGTCCGTTTGTCATGATATGTCGGATGAAATGAAGAGTTCAATTTCCTCACTCGAAACTTCAACATTCATTTTCAATTGTGTTTCACACATCTCTTTTCCTTAAAAAAAAAATCATAAGCAAAAAAAAAGCGTCAAATGTCACTCAGATTTTATGCTACGCAAGAATATTGTCTTCTCTAGCATTTTCCTCATATTTCTTTTTTCTTCAGATATGGCTACTAACAAAAATAAAATGACACGTATTGTGTGTATTAGTGATACACACTCACGGTATGGATTCGCACTTCCGGGTGGTGATATTCTTATCCATGCAGGCGATTTTTCGATGTCAGGCGAGCAAAGTGAAATTGAAAATTTCATAACGTGTCTCAAATCTCTTACTCAATATAGATTGAAAGTATTCGTTGCAGGTAATCATGATGTGACTTTGGATCCAACTTTTTACAAGGAAAATTGGGAACGATGTCATCATGATCAAAAACAAAATTGTGAACTTATTAGGCGGCTTTTACGTGATCCATTGTTAGCAATCAATTATGGGATTATTTATTTGGAAGAACAACAATTCGTCGACAATGTCACTGGTTTGAAATTTTACGGCAGGTAAAACGTATAGATATATTTCCCACTGTGCTATTGAAATTTCTTTCCATCTTTAGTCCCTACCAAGCAGAATATAATAATGGGGCCTTTAATTTGCCAATCAATAGTATCGAAATTAAAGAAGCTTGGTCTCAAATTCCAAAAGATGTTGATATTCTTATCACACATGGTCCACCTACAAATATTCTTGATGAAAATACTCGAGGCATACATGTTGGCTGTGCTCAATTACTTGCACGTATTATTACTAACAAACCTCGTTTACATGTCTTCGGTCATATTCACGAAGCATATGGACGAATAGATCAAGGTTCGACCATATTTGTAAATGCATCAATCTGTAATCTGAACTATGAACCTATCCAAGCACCGATCGTAGTCGATTTATAATTAAGGAATACGCAACGAAACGATTTGACGCCTTTCCAGACTTGGTTCTTCGACATTTAGCCATATGATTTTTAACACTAAATTGTCATGTGTGTACTGATAAGAATGAGAAACAGAGTAAATCTGTTCGAAGGACAGATCTTCACAGAACTTTGTAGCCATTAGCGATCACTGGTCAAAAATAGGCAGTATAATTCCTATTTTACATATCATGACGAAAATCTGAATAAAAATCTAAAGAATTATAATCGTAAAATAAATTCATTAACAATGAACTTGATCTGTTTAAATACATGGATCATGTCAAAAGTTTTTTCGTCCGACTCTCCTAAAAGATATAATTTGAATGTAACTATTTTGTCATAATGCTTAAACATATTTAGGATTATGTGCAAAATTTCAAACTCACAAGGGTGTATGGATGTAGACGCGGCCATCGGTCTTGTCTTCATTCATACCCACACTCAAAAGAATTATTCTTTCACGTTACTTCATTACCATTTGAAAAAATATAACAGAGTTTTAAGAACAGTATGAAACAGTAAAAACGAATATATCTACAACCCTAACAAAATT